GTTTTTCCAATGCCAGAAAAGTCGGCACGAAGCTTCTCGAGCAGCGGTGTCGAACCAGTGCGCCATCGCGGGCCTGACTTCTCTGAATTATCCTGCGAGCGAGAGCTAGTCCTCGGTTGCGTCGCCGCCACCGTATTGGGTAGCACAACGTGTAGAATCAAGTAATCGAACGCATCGTGCTTCTCTTGTTTGCTATTTCGTTTCGGGTTGCTTGACGACGGTATCTGAGTCTTGATCCATTCTCGAATTTCTGCTCGAACGGAGGTCTTGTATGTTTCATTGTCGTCGCATCTCACCAGTAGCACCTTAAGATACGGTGTCCGTCGCAGACCAGGAATTTGATGTCGTCTTTGACTCCCAATTGCCCTCGAAGGCAAAGACTGCGTGTCTATCTGATCAGCAGAAGACGCCTGGCCACCAAAGTTCTGCTGCTGAAAGCCATCGTCGAGAGTGCTCCCTGATCGTCGAAGGGTATGAGGAGAAGAAGTTGATGCAGGGTCATCCCCCTTGAGAAGCTCAACGTGAAGCGTGTCGATAGATCGTAGAGGCCCAGCATGCGATTGCCAGTTCAAGTTTCGCAGCGGTAAACGAGGAATCAATCCAGGGGCGAGGAGTTTGTAAACATCGTGAGGATCGAAGTACTCGACTTGCGACAAGGTGTCGAGTTAGCGGACAAACTCAAGGGAGGCATAAGGTTTACAGGGGAATAAACGCCATAGAAGCTCAAGACATACCAGTCACTTTTGACGTCGAGAATGGCTGTTCCATGGCAAACAGCTCGAATGCGCACTTGTCATTGCTGTTTGTCCAAGTAAACAGACAGTCAAGGTATCTCAATCGAGATGGTGTTTAACCGCTAAAGCTGTCCCGAACGAGCTCCAGTGGATAACGATTGGAGACCCCCCTGTTGACGTAGAGGTACCTCCATTAACTCATCTTCATGCGCCGGAAGCGGCATTTGTCCGGTCCCAGGCGGTGAGAGCACGTGCGTAGCGTTATTGGTTGGGTATTATGACGCTATTTTCATTTTGACGGCGGGGTGGCGGCAGAATCTTGGAGGGGCAACATTTTGTCAAGGAATTGCGACTAATAAGCGTGTTAAACTGGTTCATTTCTCTCATTTTCAACCCTTTTAACTCAAATTGTGTTTCATTATGTCTTCTCTCAAGGCTGTCAAGTACACTCGAGGCCAACTCCAGGTCCTCGATCAACTCCGTCTTCCTCACGAATTTCACTACGACCATGTCTCCAACAGAACAGAGGCCTTTGACAGCATCGCAACTATGCGAGTGCGAGGTGCCCCAGCTATTGCCATAGTAGCAGCCCTTGGTTTGGCTGTTGAACTTCACAATGGAAGCCTCACAGCGTCAAACGCTGAAAATACCATCTCTCAAATCGAGGAAGCTCTCGACTATCTCAAAGAAAGCCGACCTACAGCTGTCGACTTGACCAACGCTATTAACCAGCTCAAGTCCACAATAAGAGCGGTTGGAAGTACTGCTACCAAGGAGCAGGTTATCACAGCTTTCATCGAGGAGGCTGAGAAGATCTTTGAGAAAGATCTCCAGACCAACCTCTCCATTGGTGACCATGGAGCTGAGTGGTTGCGTGCCCAAGCTGGTGCTTCCCCTGACAAGAAGATCTCGGTTCTCACCCACTGCAATACTGGATCCCTCGCTACATCTGGCCACGGCACTGCACTGGGAATAATTCGAACTCTTCAGTCCAAGGATCTCCTCCAACACGCCTTCTGCACAGAGACTCGACCTTACAACCAAGGAAGCAGACTCACTGCCTTTGAGCTTGTCTTCGAGAACATTCCTAGCACACTCATTACTGACTCTATGGCTGCTTCCCTCTTCCGCAACCGAAAGCAAGAAAAGAACATTGCCGCTGTCATCGTTGGTGCTGACCGCGTCGTTCGCAATGGTGACACAGCTAACAAGATTGGTACCTACCAACTCGCTGTTCTGGCCAAGCACCACGGAATCAAGTTCATCGTCGCTGCTCCTACAACCAGCATCGACCTCGAGACTGAGACTGGCGATGGTATCAAGATTGAGGAGAGAAAGAAGGAGGAGCTTACACAGGTCACAGGAGCTGTGATCAAGGCCGATGGCACAGTGGATGAGAGCAGCAAGGTCCGTGTTGCTACCGCTGACCAGAGAATCAATGTGTGGAACCCTGCGTTCGATGTCACTCCCGCCGAGCTCATCGACGCCGTGGTCACAGAAAAGGGCGCCATTGAGAAGGGGCCTGATGGCAACTTTGACTTCAGCAAGATCCTGCCTGAGCGTTGGGCCAAGATCACTGGTGCGTGAACCAGCTTCATGATGTCATATTTCATTTGAGCGGGCTATCATATCCAACATTAGACTAGAGCAGCGGAAAATTGGGTTTCTATTTATTGCTTCAACGCATGAAGAATCAGCTTTTGGTATCCTTCAACAGCAGTTTCAAGATCAGCAACGGTCAAGTTCTCCCTCGCGCCATGTGCAACAAGAATGTTTCCTGGACCGTACAGGTACCTCGTGTGGTCACCCTTGAGGTTGGGAATGTCGGTTCCGTAGTTGACGGTGATTTTCTCAAAGCCTGAACCTGTTAGCGACGCTCCCACAAGAACTCGGTGTACGTACCATCAACATCGCAGTTTGCTTCCACAGGTCCGTACCCGTGGGTGCAGTCGAAGATGAAAGCATCCTTGTCGACCTCGTCAAAGATGGCCTGGATCTTGTCATGAACAATGACATGTCCATCAGCCTGCTTTCCGCTCGCAACTCGCACAGCCAGTCCAACCTTGGCCTCCTCAGGGATGACGTTAGCAGCCACGCCACCATTGAATCGACCAATGTTGACAGTGGTGTTACCAAACAGCTCACTGCTACCAAGATCGGTATCGAGCACTTTAGCGAAGGCTCGGATCATCAGCTCGTTGGCTGACTTGCCGAGCCAGGGGTAACCACTGTGGCCGGGAAAGCCCTTTGTGGTAACGTCGCAGCCCAACATGCCCTTGTGTCCACAGGCAAGCTTGAGCTCTGTAGGCTCTCCGAAAATAACAGCATCGAGACTGTATGGAAGCTCCTTGGTCTCGATGGCCTCGCTGAAGCGTCGCATACCGTCGCCCTTAACCTCCTCGCCTACAACGAACAGCAGGACGAGCTTATGGGGATCGATCTTTCCGTGCTCGACAAGGTCTTCGACTGCAGTGATTTGAGCAGCAACGCTACCCTTGGCGTCCACACTGCCTCGGCCGGTGATCATAGTCTCCTTTGTGACCTCTCCATCATCAATTCCATATGGGATATGCGGCGGAACGACATCAATGTGGCTGCTCACACAGACCTTGGGATCGAAAGTCTTCTTTCCATCTTGTCGCCAAGCGAGCACATTGAACCTCGGCTTTCCCTCCGGTGTATTATCAAAAGGTTCCACTTCCTGACGCGAAGTGGTATATCCCTTCTTCTCAAGGTATCCCTCAAGCCAAACACCAACATCATGTTCGGTCCCAGAAACCGAGGAAGTCTCAATAAGAGATTTGTGCAAGCTCAGTAGCTCCGATCGGTACGAGGGCGTATCGTGGTTGCTAGCAATTGCATCGGAGGTGGGCTTTTGGTCATAACCTCCAAGAACCTGCTGCCAATCGAATGCAACGGCCAAAGAGGCCGAGGCCAGAAACCTGGCGACTGTTGCGACGCGCATCGTGGGGAAACAAAACGGGTTTGTGAAGCTTAAAGTTTTGGGGTGGAGGTTGGGGAACAGAAGGGAGCTTGGGTTCAATTGAGCTCGGATATTGGTGGAGAAGAGCGGAATGACGCAAGTGGCCGATGTCGGGGTTGTCTGGGGTACCTGGATGGTCTGGTCTGGTCCGGTCAGATAAGAACAAAGATAGGATTTTCTTTTGGAGATGACAATGGCATGACTAGCATGATATAGTGATCCCTGGACAGGGAGGATCTCTATTTGGAAGGTCTGTGTATCGATCGGCGAATAGTAAAACCCGTATATAAAATACAAACACTACCGAACCACTCCACACATCGAACAAACTACCACAATAGCTATTAGCCTTTGATTTGGGTTTGTTCTACATACAAGGCAATGTTCTCGCATCTCTTAGCTCTCGCCAGCCTATGAGTGTTGCTGGACCTCTTACACAAGAAGTTGCAAGCTTACTTACGCCTGGACAATGACCTAACCTACACCTTAGACCGACCATATCCGCTTCAAGCTCACAAGCCAGACTTGTCATACCAAATATGTTCGATGCACATTTTTGTCGATATAGCTTAGTTATTCAACCCTATTTATGAACTACTTTTGGTCTTTATTCGAGCACCTATTAGTCAAATTCACGACTCCCCTCCTTTGCCGGTTCCTTGACGTACCTTGCTTGGCTCGAGTGTTGTGACACGAGAAGTGAAATGCTTCACTCTACACGATCTGGCTTTACAATATCCCACAAACTGTTACGCAAGAAATATCGGGCCACGGACCGTCATGTCGGCTTGTCCTTCCGATCAGAGCCGACTAGTTCCACGATGTTGGAGATAAGCGTAATGCGGGGTTGATAAGTTGTTGTTTTTTCACCATTCGACAACTGACAACAAGGATATACTGTCTTTCCTGTAAGGATCATATCCTATTGATCCTTGTTTCTCGAGTATTGATGGGAATCGAAGCTGATTCTGCCATTATTCTCTGTTATCACAGTGGTCTATAAGCTTGAAGATCAAGGCCCAAAGACCGATGGTGCTTGGCTTTCTCTGTTCCGAAGTTTCCGGCTGAATCTACATTTTCTTTGACATAAAACAAAAATTTCTTCTTCTTGCTAGACATGTTTACTATTTTGTAAGTTATATTACTGCTCTTGAAGAGGTCTTAGTGAGCTCAGGACAAGTTCGGTGGGCAACTTGTCATCAGCTTGTAAGCCGTGGTGTAACTAATTCAGATCATTAGGTAATTCTCGTTTCAAGTGAACCGATCACTGCTGGAAACATATAATGGGGTCCCTTGACGAGGCTTCATGGACTGGAACGGCCTATGTTCAAGGTCGAGCCTCGGCTAAACTCCTCGCGAGTGATCTTGAGCTAAGCTTCTGGGGAGGCGTCGACCCTCAGACCAGTGAGATTATCGACCGACACCATCCATTGAGTGGACAACATCTACAAGAAACTGTCCTTGCTATTCCGGGAGGTCGAGGGTCATGCACTGGTAGCGGTGTTATGCTTGAGCTGTTACTCAACGGCAAAGCTCCCGAGGCAATCATCTTTGAGAGACGAGACGACATTCTTACCCTTGGAGTCATGATTTCAGAAGAAGTCTTTAACCAGTCAATCCCCGTCGTGGTTCTAGATAAGGAAGACTTTCGACATCTCATTCGACTGAACGGGCAGACAATATTTGTGGACGATGGTTATGTGTCCACTCACTCACCGTCAAAACACCGAAAAGGTTCAGTGATAGATACAGAAAGCGGTCTTATCCTCGAGACGACACCAGCTCTAGAAGGTATCAAACTCTCGACACTGGATCAAGAACTTTTAAGAGGAGACTACGGCGAAGCATCCCGCGTCGCTATCAGAATCGTCCTCCGTATGGCTCATCTTCTTGGCGCAACACGTCTCATGGACGTAACACAAGTCCACGTCGATGGCTGTGTCTACACCGGTCCTGCGACACTCGCATTAGCAGAGAGACTCCGCGACTGGGGCGGCAAAGTTCGAATTCCCACAACACTCAACTCTCTATCAGTAGACCAAAAGCGCTGGAGAGCTCTTGGTGTCGACACTACTTTCGGAGAAGCGGCTGATGCACTTGGAAAAGCGTATACAGACATGGGAGCACGACCAACCTTTACCTGTGCGCCTTATCAGCTAGAGAGTGCCCCGAAATTGGGAGAGCAGATTGCTTGGGCGGAGTCGAATGCTGTTGTTTATGCGAATAGTGTCTTGGGGGCGAGAACTATGAAGTACCCCGACTTTCTGGACATCTCGATTGCTCTGACAGGGAGGGCGCCCAGAGGAGGCCCTCATCTCGGCATCAATCGAGTGGCATCAGTTTGTGTGAGGGTCGTGGGGCTGGAGGACACTACAAGTCTTGACGATTCATTTCCACCATTGCTAGGATATTATGTTGGAACTTTATCGACGAGCCGAATACCTGCGATAACAGGACTTGAGAAGCTTGGTCTCTCAACAGACGATCTGAAGGCCTTCGGTGCGGCTTTCGCCACGATATCGAGCGCCCCAATGTTTCACATCGTTGGTATAACGCCAGAGGCACCGACACTTGAGACAGTGCTTGCCCCTGAATTCACCTCTGTTGAAGTCAAGCTGAGTGATCTGGGAATATGCTGGGATAAACTCAACAGCGCACCAGCAAGCCAACCCATCGACTTAGTATCACTAGGCAACCCACATTTCTCACTTTCCGAGATGCGGAAACTTGCCAACCTCTGCCGGGGGCGACAAAAGGCTGCTAGAGTATCCGTTATCGTTACTTGTGGTCGGTCAGTGTACAAACTCGCTGAACAAGCAGGTCTCCTAGCCCAACTAGAGGATTTTGGAGTGCAAATATTAACAGATATTTGCTGGTGTATGGTAACCGAACCTGTGATCCCAACGACAGCAAAGACAATCATTACGAATTCTGGGAAATATGCTCATTATGGACCCGGCCTCACAGGGAGAGGGATGTACTTTGGTAGTCTGGCGGGCTGTGTTGAAGCTGCTTGTTCAGGAATATATGAAGCTGAAAAGCCAGAGTGGTTCAAAAGTAAAGGACTTAAATAGAATTCAAGATTAGAAACCATGGCAAGCGGCAAGATTTTGCTGGGCAGTGACTCATGAGTCAACCTCCACGCCTTTTCTGCTGACCTTCTCGAGTATGGGTACAAGAAATCGCTTGCTGGATGCATTGAACAAACAATCTATCCAGAGAACAGATTTCAAGATGCTATGCAGTTCTGACCATGAACATATCCCCAAGCCATCCATGACTTCCAAGAACCACCCTTCAATGGCTTCATCACAGCCATCTTGAACAGAATTTGTTCTCCAAATCATCAAAAGCCATAGAAGAACAATATTAGACGGTTGAACAGAGGACTCGCTCAGTCTCACTAACGAATCTTTAAATGAGTCATCCAGATATGCCTGTCTTTGCTTCATATCCCTCCATCGAAAGAAGATACTCGCAGCGAACGTCATCATTCCAAGTCGAAAGGCGTTTTCTGAAGCTGATTCTGGAGACAGAGCGAGGAGCCGGTAAAGAGTCGATACCATGACTTCGCTGAAGATATTGGGTTGAAGTTTTCGACCAGTTTGTCCGGCGATGTTGCTGAGTTTTGCAAACTCTTCGAGATCTCTGAATACGTTTGATAATCTGGGGTCAAGAGTTTTCAAAAATGGTTCCATGTCGTGGCTTGTATCCGCAGGCTTCTTTTTTCTGCGAAGTAAACCTTGACTGGAAAGGTATGGGTTCCAGGATATGTCTTTGTCGAAGAATACTGGCTTGCAGCCGAAGCGAAGAGCTAAGCCAATATCAACTCTATGAGATGTTAGATACTGCCCAAAGTACTTGGTGTAAGCACTCACCTGCACACTTTGGCGGGTAATCTGGGATTATCAAACCTCAGCATCTCAAGACCACCCCTTAAACCCACTATCCTCGCCATCCCGGCAGCGTGATTTTCAGCTGCAGTTCGATCGCCAATCATCTCCGCTGCTAAGCCCAGAATAACAACTACCATGATAGTAGCATCTGAGATAGACGCCGGGTCTGTAGGATTGTTTATTCTTGCTTGAAGAAGCCTGAGGGTTTTCAAAAAGTGAAAATGTGCAAGACTGCCGTAGTCTCGTCCGAGAAGCATGTCGAAGTATGCTTCCACGGAGAACATTATGGAGTGGAAGTATACTTGGTCGACTAGGAGGTTTGTAGTCCAGGATGACTTCATCTCATCGACTTGAAGACATATTTCGGGGGGATATAATGATCCTCTCATCCCATGAAATGCTGCTTGATGTTAGCTCTGGCAAAAACCATCAAAAAGAGAGACCGACATCTAAAGATATCATTTTCCATATATGCCTGCAACGGCTCAGGAAAATCAAGCAAAGAGAAGTTTGTCCCAACGCGACCCGGTATAGTTCCATCAGGAACCTGCAGCGTCACGTGTGTCCCCTTCTGGTTTAACATCCATGATTTGACCTGGATTTGGTCTTTTCGAGCTGAGCTAGAACGTGCCCGACTTCTAACGAGTCTTTGATTCTCTTTAGACTTTTTCAATGGCGTCTGGGTGATGAACGTGAAGCTTTGGTCTACTTAGATTAGTCAAGGTGCGATGACTGAGTGAGTGGAAGAGATCTTACTGTGAGGCGACTGCTGTTTCGATTTTAGCATGACTTTGCGTGTAAAAGCAACCTGTTAATCGAAGAAGTTGATTATTAGGAGACTATGGAGTGAACGAGTTGTTGATTCAGTGTTAGAAGGCATTTCAGCTTACGTGCTGCCGTTAGACGTAATCGCGGATTTCGGGCTTATTAACTCCGAACGCCTAACTTGAGGAAGAACCACGTAAATGGATATCTAAAGCCACATTATTGACATGAGATATGTTTAATTCTCTGATTATTCATGCTTTACAGTGACACCCTTCTTAAGTCTAAATAAGTAGAATACAACTGAGAGAAGGAGCTGAAAGGGGACCTGGATATCCATTATAGCCGTTTGGCTCAAAGCAGCACTAATCCTACGCAAATCAAAAATCATATACCAGAAACAATGTCCTTGATGCCTGCAAAGTCCAGCTCCTCCAGTGTCTCGTTCCAAACCTGGTCAACCAAGACATCACCATGTGTGTAAAACCAACCTGCTAACCTAAAGCCCAGTTAGTAAACCAAATTCACACTCATCAAGGCTTAACTTACGGTGCAATCTCACAACTCATCAAAAAGCACCCATGAGACTCCTTTCCATGTCCATAGACAGCATTAGTATAGCTCGCAGCACCTCTGTCAACAGGTCTTCCACAAATCGCAAAGAACGCGCCTGCAAGCACTCCAGCAATACCACCCAATTCATGATGGCCTCCAAGATGAGTACCCTTTGTGAGCCCTGGGTCTACCATATTGATAATCACATCGTCTGGATTGACCTTTTCACAAAGGCGTACAAGAAAGAGCTGGTTGAGAAGCTTTGATACTCCGTACCGTTCTTGGGAATCCCATGGTGTGATTTTTGGGTCGTCGAAGGATGCAAGTAGTGGGCGTTCGCCTTTGTTTGGGAACTTGCAGAGATGGGCTGTGAGAGAGTTCACTGTTGTAAGACGAGGTGGTCCATGACCTGAGGTTTTGGTCTTGAGGATGGGAATGAGAAGGATTGTCAGGAGGGCAGTGCTGAGGTGGTTGACTTGAATACCGACTTCATGACCTGTACCAGGCACAAGTTCAAATTTGCTAGGTGACAAACCAGCGTTAAGAATAACAAAGTCAATGCGATAAAGCGCAGTGTCACATCTCTTGGCAAAAGCCTGGATAGAATCATAAGATTGCATATCAAGCTGCCAAATATCAATCCTAGCAGACGGCGCGATCGTTCTGAGCTTCTCAGCAGCAACTTTGCCTTTTTCAAGAGACCTCACTCCCATTACGAGATGAGATAGACCTAAAGAGAGGAGCTGCTTTGAAGCTTCGAAGCCAAGACCGGTGTTTGAGCCGGTGATGATGGCTGTGCTGCCTTCGACCTGGGGGTATTTTTCTCTAGTGGGTAGCTCGATGGTGGTGCGGAATTGGTTCTTCCAGAAGACGGGAAGCCAGAAATCTGGGAGGGCAGACATTTCTCGCGAAGGAACGGTAGATGAGGGCTTTTGGTTCTTTTGGCACGGCATTTTGATGATGGTGATGGTGAAAAGATGGTTGGAGGATATGGAATATTGGGGACGCAACAGTTGAAAGGGTTGAGAATTAACAATCTTCTTAGCTTATAGTTCCTATAAAGAGAGATATTCTACATGTTTTATACCCAAAATTTAGTTTTAAGGCGTTATATAAACTCCTTGTCTTGGTCGGATTTTGGACTGGATCATGCTGAAGCTGTCCCGATTAGGAAATTGAAAAAGTCTTGGCATTCATCCAACATCGTCATGGCCAATCAGAGACTCGGAGTACACTCTCAGAAGACAAAATCACAGCCATCTCGAATGCGTCGAATTGCGTATGATGCATGATTGCCTTGTGCTCAAGTAATAATAGAACGGAGTTAGGATGACTGTTCACACCAACTCCGGAGCTGCGATCTGTCTTTGTCATGATGGGTTGGTCATGGAACAGCCATGATGTGCTCTGAGGCCTCAGCTGCCAACAGACACAACAAAACACAGAAAGCCGGGCCTTGAACGAGGGTATACTTGATAGATAAAGAATTCTACTTTCAATCAAAATTCGAGGCCCAATTCTTATCAGAACTGTATACCCATCATGACGGCAATGTAATATACGCCCTACAATGTAGCTGGTCCCATATCATAGCACGTCTAGTGTCAGGTAAACCGAGGATAAATCGTTACCCACTCAACCACTATCAGCACAATCACCAGTAGCTAATTCTAATCACTATCTCTAGTATTCGTCCCTACCCACTATACTCCCAAGTTCCCCGAATCTCTCCCGATCCATCGCCCTCTGTAGCTTATCTCCCCACGGTGGATAACCCACGATATGTCTCCCCCCGCCGACTCCGACTCGGAAGCTACATTTACCACCGACTTCACAGTCTCCTACTGACTCGCTCCTCGAACTTGCACCAGAAAGCAAATGACATGTTATTACCCCTCGTGTCCCTTGCGCCCTACAACACAAGTCACCCAATCACTAATCTCAATGGCAATGTCTTGGCTCTCAGAGTGGACCATGCCATTCGTGCCCCGCGATGCCGGCAACGGAGGGGTCCAAGGGTAGAAGAAGCTTTATTATCGTGACGATTCCCTGGACTTTTTGTGATTGGCATATTAGATTCAATTCTATTGTATTGTATTGTACGAGACAAAATGACTGTTGTTACTCTTCCCGAACCCTTTGCTAGCATCCCCCGAGAGAACTTTCTCTTCGGCGCATCGCCTCTTCAGCCCCTCCCTAGAATATCCGCTGCTCTCGGTGGAAAGGTCAATGTCTATGCGAAGCGAGAGGACTGTAATTCCGGTCTCGCCTATGGTGGCAACAAAGTCCGAAAGCTAGAGTAAGTCGCTCTCCGAACCTCATCCACGGCACAGGTAGCTAATAAAAATAGGTACCTCGCTGCTGAGGCCCAAGCCCAAGGCTGTGATACCCTCGTCTCCATCGGCGGCGTCCAGTCCAACCACACCCGCGCCGTAACCGCCGTCGCTACAAAGCTCGGTCTCAAAGCCGCCACGGTCCAAGAACACTGGGTTGACTGGGAAGATCCCGGCTATGAAAAGGTCGGCAACATTCAGCTCTCGCGACTCATGGGCGGTGATGTGAGACTCGACCCTTCGACATTCGGTATCGAGCACAAGACAACTCTCGCCAAGCTCACAGATGAGCTCAAGAGCAACGGCCGCAAGCCATACTACATCCCCGCCGGAGCTTCAGACCATCCCCTCGGCGGTCTAGGTTTCGCACGCTGGGCATTTGAAGTCGAGGCCCAAGAGAAGGAACTAGGAATCTTCTTCGACACTATTATCGTATGCGCCGTGACAGGCTCAACATTCGCCGGCATGATCGCCGGCTTCAAGCTCGCGCAGAAGAAGAACGGCTCTCCAGCGCGCAAGATCATCGGCATCGACGCCTCAGGCAAAGTACAGCAGACATTCGACCAAGTCCTGCGCATCGCCAAATCCACAGCGGCCAAGATTGGCCTCAGCGAGGACGACATCACAGCGGACGACGTGATCCTGGACCCCAACTACAACGCCAAGATCTACGGCATTCCTGACGAGACGACCATCGAGGCTATGAAGTTTGGCGCTGCTACGGAGGCGTTCATCACGGATCCTGTGTATGAGGGCAAGAGTCTGGCGGGGATGATGGATTTGATCAAGACGGGCAAGATTGCGAGTGGGAATGTGCTTTATGCTCATTTGGGAGGTCAATTGGCGCTTAATGCTTATTCTTCCCTGTGATTTTATACATGATAGATTGTTATTTGAGCGTGAATAGAATTGATCGAAAATTTGCCTATTTCTGGAATAGTATGAGTGTCTGAACCGGGGTAAATGGATAACTAGGTAACTCAGGCACGCTATTATCCAGTGTGCTTCTCGACCTGTCATCTTTGCATTTCTTTGACGTATATTTTTTCTAATCTTTATTTAATCCACTCGGTAATTAGTAGAATAGATATCGACTAAAATGGCTGATTCTCAAGACACCAAGGCAGCTGTTCTATCTGCTCTCGCAGACTTCTTCAACATCTCGTCCCAAAACCCCAAAGACGCCCGCAACCACCTTCTCGAGACCTCTTACGTCATACAGTCCACCTCAGACACTATCGAACAGACGACGCTAGGAGAGTTGTTCCTCAACGACAAAAAGCAAAAGGGTCATCTTGAATGGGCCATAGACGAACCTCAAGAACTCTTCATTCACGAGAAGCTCGCTGCGGTCTGGACTGGTTGGTCCATCCGTGCCGACGATGGTACTATCATCAGCCATAAGAAGGGCATCCTCGGATTAGCTTACACCGAAGGACGGTGGAAGATATCAGGTCTCGCTTCGACTGAGCGCTCCCTCGATACACCACACCCAGAAGATGAAGCAGCTCTCACCCAAGAAATCATGAAGCCCATCAACGCTCTTCTAGACGACTTCTCCCATCCAGACTGGGACGTTCTCAAACAATGGTTTCTTCCCAACGCTGGAGTTACTCTCTACAGACCACCCGCTGAGCCAGCGCCTATGACTATGAAGCAGTCCATCGTTCGTCTACAGGGTATGATCAAGAGTGGCATCACTATTCAAGAGAAGTTACATGATATTCAGGTCCGAAAACACGGAGATATTGCGTTGGTTTGGGCGCCCTTTGTGGTTGAGATAAATGGGGCACCTAAACATGATGGCGTGAATGCGTTTACGCTGTTGAAAAGGGAGGGGAGGTGGGTGTTTAGTGGATGTCAGGACTATGGCGTTGCTCTTCAGTGAGAGGTGACTGCTGAGCTTGCTTCTCGATGTCTGGGGGTATCTGGTGAATATCTGTGGAGAGGTTGATTCTGGTCTATTTATTTGGTGCTCTGCCTGATCTGAGGCACTGAAGCGGATACCTGGATGTTGTTATTTGCGAGCGATAGCGTGCCTATCTGTTTTGTTTGGTATCCGGTTCCTACCCAGGTGAAAGAGTGTCTACCCTTACGTAATGATGAATTTCTCTTGTCCTTTATGAAGCCCAATAGTATGGTTCAAAGGGTGCACGCGATGCATATGAGCGTAAACACCTTCTGCAAGTTCATCCATGGAATCATACCCTTATAGCCATTCCAAGACCAACACGTATTACAACTGTGCAGATCATACAGGGAAATCCACAAAGAGAATAAAAAGAGGCAGAGCGTGTTTATGCATGGATGCTTTGTTCAGTTCAGTGTTTGTACACCAATGCAACGCCTATGCAGGTACCATGCAGGCTCCCGCTTCTTTGCGTAAATATCCTGAAAGGTACCTTTATGCTGGGAAACACATCTAATATCTCCTTGGTCAATAAAAACAAGAATGTCATTGGCTAATGACTGTCACATTTACTCTCCTTTTTGATCTGTCGTCTTTCCTGTTGCAGTTGCTAGCTCTAGAATCTCCGACACCACCAGTTTGAAGACGTCAATATTTGCTACTTGAGATTCTTCAAAGTGTATCCCTTTCATTGTTATAGCAACTTTCTTTTTGGTCATTCTCACAATGAGACATCACGTAACTGGTTCCTGAACAGGCTGAAGTCTGTGTGGGCTGCGAGTTTGTTCACACCAAATGAGAGAACAAAAAGACTGCATGAAGTGAGCTATTAGAAAACCCAAGACCATGTCACAGGTAGCAATCAATACTATAATAAGCTCTCAGATAGAACAATACTGCGGCATCTGACTTTCTGCAGCTGCTAGTTACCTCAATAACCATTTCTTGACGATGCTGCACAAAGGAGCGACCATATAGCAGCGTCTTTACTTTATTGTATAGGCTAATCATAATTCTTCAGCATCTTTTTAGTTAAATCTGAGGCGCAGTAGCTGCACGCTATATCGTGCCATACACGCAAGGCTGCCATATGTCAGGATAACAAAGTCCAATCATTTATCTCAAGAAGTGACAAAGCCTGAGGTACTCGAAACTATACAAGCAAAGAGCCAAAAGGCTAGTATTCTTTGCTCTATATTTTGATTGGTTCTTTGATAGAGAGTCTGCTTTGTTTAGGGGTATAGGTGCTCGAATAATGCCTAGAAAGGCTTCCACTGGGCTCCATGCCATCATGCACCTAGCGCTGCAACAAGCGTTTCTTACACTTCTTTATATTGTAGTTCCAAATAACCGGGCAACCATTCCGATGCGACTATAAATCCAAATTCCCATCGATATCGAATTCTTCTTCCTTCACCCCACTCAACCTTCACTTCAACCACCACCCAGTACTTCCGTCCCCTCCTCACTCATTCACTCGTTTTGACCGCCCAATATGGCAGACATGTCTTACGAAGACACTCAACATCTCCTTGATTCTATTGCCAGCACGAACTTCGACCAGCGTCTTAATGACCACATGGATGGTACTGAGGAAGTTGACGAAGATACCAAGGTTGATATGTTCACGAGTCTCAACAATTCCGCCTTCCAGAACCCTCAGGCCCAATATGGAATCGACGACGAAGCTCTCCTAACATCTAATCCTTTTGAAAAGGAGTTCATGGAGGCATACCAGGCAGAAAATGCTCGGACTCAGACTTCTTCAGGGTCCGATGCACAGTTGAGTGGGCCTAACAATAATGGCAGTACTATCGCCGACGATGATAGTCAAGTTCCTGTCTCTTCTGCTGTCACACCTGCGACTCAGTTCTCTTCACCTATGAATCCTGAGGACTACTTGCCAGAGTCATTCCAGACACAGCCATATCCGCCACTTAATAATCAGCCTCAGTCTTACCCTATCCCGATGGGTCAGTCGTTCTATGACCAGCCGGCCCTTCAGCAAATGCAGCCTTTTCCCGTACGACAACCCGCTGGTCTTGGCGGACGTCAGATTAGACGAACCCGATACCCCCAGCAGCAACTCTTCTTCTCTATGAACAGTCAGCTTCATCAACCTCTCCCGGGGCCAGTGTCTCACCCAGCCTTCCAAGTCTCGCAACCTCACAATCCCCTCTCTCAAGCACCACCTCACAAAGGCCCTGCCCCCAACGAACCAATCCGTCACAAGATCCCAACCAACCCAGCCAACATCAACCCTCACACTTTAGAGCAGCAGTCACTCCTCTCAGAGCTGCAGCACTTCACCCACGAGTACCAGGGCTACATCACGAACCCAGTCCAAGCTCGCCAAATAGGCAATCTCTTCCTCTCCCTCGCACACCATGAAGTAACGGTCACACCGCCAGACATGGATCCCACATTCCCTCGAACCAACGAAGCGTATCGCGCCCGTGTGCAGGAACTCTTCATGGCTATCGTGGACTGGTCGAATCCGAGGGGATGGCGAACGAAGATGGGGTCGAAGCTTGCTGTGCAGTGGGTTGAAGAGGTCACGGCCTATCGAAAGAGTGTTGGACTTTCTGTTGAGCCGTCTGATATGCTTGATCACCAAATCGAACCTCCTATTGATAGGATGCCTCCTGTGAATGAGCAGTGGAAGAATGTTGTTCACCGTCAGTTGTCCAACATTGAGATTGAGATTCTTAGCTCCAAGATTCTCGTAAGTCTGCCTTTTATAGCTACATAAGCTTTGCTAACCACAGTCATAGGACTCAGCCATGTTGTCGCAGCAGGATAGGAACTATGTTCCACTCTGGAGCAATGCCGAGTGTCAGTGGGAGCAGTTCGCTAGTTTTGGAGAGCGTTAGGAACGCCTCGTGAACGCTTTTCGAGTGAGCTAACCCCCTTTTCACTTATCAACAAAGAACTAACTTGACTAGGACAACAAGGTTTTGATTCACTCAGCTCTACGCTCATCTTGGCTCTCCCGAATCACCAACTCTCCAGTTGCCGAGCTTGTCGTAAGTACATAACCATGGTTTTATGATGTCAGTACTAATGTGAGACGCAGCGCAAAGAGAATAACAAGGCTGGCAATGACAAGAAGCGAAATGCTGCCAGCCGTCTGAGTGGCAAGGGTGGCAAGAGACCTCAGAATGAAGAGAGTGAAGATGAAGAAGTGGGCAGAAAGACGAAGAAGAAGCGGCACTGATCTTTCGATTTGATCGGCAATATGGTTCTTTTTTGCCTATATAGGATGACTATATCGGGTATTTTGGGGTATTTTCAGGTGCGATTTTCGAAATGGTGGCATTTTGGCATCGTTGGATGGCATTATATACGAAGCACCTTGGGGTTCGACTGAGACAGCATAGACCAGACGATCATAGGGATAGACAAGAACGGTTTGTTGGCATACCTCGGAATAGGGACAACAACTGGAAATAATACACGGGTACTCATTACAGCAGAGAAGAATGGGAGAAATTTGTTATCAGTTAGTTATGGTGTTGCAACACCCGCTTATATCGTCCATGCATATCTAGCCGAGTTGATCTTCTCAACTGTCCTCATTTTTCCTTGACCTATTCTTTTTCATGATGAATCCCCATCAACGCCAAAAACAAAACACTTCTTTTACACAGCCTACCATCCTCGTCCAGCAAGCTTCTCCTCAGGCTTCATGCTATCGCAGTTGATTCCCACCATAGCCTCGCCAAGCCCCGTGCTAGTCTCAGCCAGCACCTTGGCATCCTTGTAGTGTGTAGTCGCACGCACGATAGCCTTGGCCCGCTTCGCAGGGTCGCCCGACTTGAAAATACCGCTGCCGACAAAGACACCGTCGCAGCCGAGCTGCATCATGAGCGCAGCGTCAGCGGGCGTGGCGACACCGCCGGCGGCGAAGTTGACGACGGGCAGACGGCCTAGCTCCGCGGTCTGGCGGAGGAGATCGGCGTCGACTTCGAGCTCGCGGGCGAGTTCGCGGATGCGGATGATACCGCCCTCGGCGAGCGCGGCCTTGGCTTGTGCGATCTGCTTGTTGACCGTCTTCATGTGTCGCACGGCCTCGACGACATCGCCGGTGCCAGCCTCGCCCTTTGTTCGGATCATAGCAGCGCCCTCTGCGATTCTTCGCAGCGCCTCACCGAGGTTTCTGCACCCGCAGACAAAAGGAACCCCGAAAGTGCTCTTCTCGACGTGGCTCTCGTCGTCTGCGGGGGTGAGGACCTCAGATTCGTCGATGTAGTCGACGCCAAGGGCCTCGAGAATCTGGCACTCGACAAAGTGGCCGATGCGGGCCTTTGCCATGACGGGGATGGTGACGGCTTCTTGGATCTGCTTGATCATGGCGGGGTCTGACATGCGGGCTACGCCGCCGTCTTTGCGGATGTCGGCGGGGACTCGCTCGAGGGCCATGACGGCGCAGGCACCGGCTTCTTCGGCGATGCGGGCCTGCTCAGCGTTTGTGACGTCCATGATGACGCCGCCCTTGAGCATCTGGGCGAGGCCGGCCTTGACGGTGAAGGAGGACTTGGCCTCGCCGTTGGAGGCGGCACCAGTGTTGGAGGAGTCGTTGGTCATGGTGAAGATGTGATGTGAGGGAGTAGGTAGTGAAAGATAAAAGGTAGTGGGGGTATGAGGGTATGGTTTGAGTTGGAGAGTTGGAGTGAAAAGAGAGGGGAACAGGTAATTATAAGTTTTTCCGCTCTCTTATGCAGGACAGACTTAATGGCTAGAAAGGGTATTACTCAAAGAAGAAGTTAACAAGAACAAATAGGTAGAGTTTCTCCTAGTCTGACTGTTAGGTAACTAGCTGTATGTACCTCCGGCCCTCCCTCCGCCTCCGCCTCCGCACCCGGTATACGGCGCCGTGAGTGCGGAGTCAAAAAAGGGTCCAGCTAATAAATGACACCAATTTACTGCAGCCGCGGCCTCCGAATATGCAAGTCTAATGCGCCATAGCCACTGTGAGGACCCTAAAACCCACCGGCATCGAGCTCCGGCCCATCTTTAAGCGCGCCCTACAGCGAGCGACAGTAATTGGATGATTCATTGACATGTGCCGATGTTTAGAGGCGGCAATTGTCGGGAAGACGAGGCTCAAAAGGGTGCAGGTGAGGAGTATCCAAAGAGGGGGATATGCTGCATATGCATGCATACATGCCTGCATTGTTCTAGATTTCTTGTGATATCATGGATGGAATCATTTGGTAGATTGTAGATAATGTCTCATCTCATCTCACTCGCTCATCTCTTATCTTGCATGACATGAGTTCGCCACGATAAGCCATCTTCTCTCTCCTCCATTGTCCACGCGTATTATCTGCTCTCTCAACCCTTCGAGACATGCTAGACATGACCTCTAGTAAGTAACTGACTCAATATACTTAGTTCAATCACCTCCTCAACTCTTAATTCTTAGCCCGGAGAACAATCGGGGCAGCCCGGAGGTACATCTCGCCCTAGCGGCTCCGTCATGCATGCAGCCTTCATGCGCTCTAATGCACGTCTTTATCCCTTTTGGGTCACTCCGGTACCCATCACCAGAATCTGGGGAACCATTTACTATCTTGTGTGTCACTTGCGAGTGACTAAGTTTTTTTGCCTTCGGTGAAAGGCTCCGAGTTTAAACTGTCCGTTATCGCTGCTTGTTCTTTATCATCTTACAAACCTCTGGCAAATCATTGTTGTTGAGATCTCCAAGTCAAAATGATCAGTCTTACGGTCGGTGTCTTGGCCCTTCAGGGTGGCTTTGCTGAGCATATCGATCTTGTGCGAAAGGCAGCAGAGTACCTTTCTTCTGCAGAAGGTGTTTCCAAGACGAAATTTCACTGTATTGAAGTTCGCACGAAAGAAGAGCTTGATCAGTGTAATGCTCTTATTATTCCTGGTGGCGAGAGCACGACAATCTCTTTTGTCGCAGCTCAATCTGGTCTGCTTGAGCCATTGAGAGATTTCGTCAAGTAAGCAGCCCCATCTACTAAGATGATCCAAATACTAATATAAATCAGAGTACACAAGAGGCCAGTCTGGGGAACCTGTGCAGGTCTGATCCTCCTCTCAGACGAAGCAAATGCCACCAAGAAAGGTGGTCAAGAACTCATCGGTGGTCTCGCAGTCCGCGTTCACCGCAACCACTTTGGACGTCAAATGGAGAGTTTCGAGTCAGGAATGAATCTCCCCTTCTTAAACGACAACAAATCCTTCCCTGGTGTCTTCATCCGCGCACCCGTCGTGGAAGAAGTCATCGGCTCGTCTGACGATGGACGACCACCAGTTGAAGTCCTGGCCAAGTTGCCAGGTCGAGTAGATAAGATGAAGTCCGGCGTATCACAAGCCAATACCAAGGACGATTCAGGGGACATTGTAGCTGTTAGACAGGGTAACGTGCTAGGAACAAGCTTTCACCCTGAGTTGACAAAGGATGAGAGGATACATGTGTGGTGGTTGAAGGAGATTCTCAACCAGCAATAAAGACAGCGACATAGACGGCGTTTTGGGAAAATAGAAATATTAATTATTATTCAGGGGTATCAACCGCTTATTTACTTCTGTTTCTTATACTTTGCCCATAGCTGCATCATATCCAGGCGGAGGCGGTGAATGCGCTCGAGCTGGTCCTCTCTGTGAAGAAGACCCAAAGCCCAATATCTGCAGAATCTCAAGATCGCCCATCGACTGCGCCAGCTCCGCCGGTGAAATACACCCTCCAACACTCATATCCGCTCCATGTGCTTTCAGAACCCTTATCAGCTCCGTATCCCTCCTCGAAATAGCCTGCATCAACGGGGTTCTGCCCTTCTTATCCGCCGCATTAGCATCAGCGCCAGCTTCGAGAAGAAGCTTGGCCTGGTCCCTCTTCCCGTTATCAATAGCATAGAGCAAGAGTGTCTCGCCGCTGCTCATCTTCTTCTTGGTGTTTGATCCAGCTGCGAGCATCATTCTCACTAGGTCTGTGCTGCCTGTCTCCATGGCGAAGCATATCGCTGCGACGCCCCAGGTTCCGTCTAATACGTTTGGTGAAGCGCCGTGGTCGAGAAGCATTCTCACGGCTCGAACTTTGTCGTTCTGTGAAAGCTTGCTGTCGCGCAGGGCGATGACGAGAATCGGGTGGCCGACGAGATCCTTTGCGCTGGCATTGGCGCCATGTTTGAGAAGAAGTTCTGCCATGTCTAGTTTTCTCTTTGCAACAGCGTCTGCGAGCACAGATAATCCGCTCAGGTTCTTTGAGCTTGCATTTGTTCCACTTTCAAGAAGCAGCTTCATCATATCCATACGGTCCTGGCTCGCTGCAATAGACAATAGCGAATTACCCGAGAGATCGCTAGTGTCTGGATTCGCGCCATGTTGAAGCAGCATTCTAACAAGCTCCAAGTTACCCTTCTTGACAGCCTGTGCGAGAACCGGTCGTCCAGAGGTGTTGGTCGTGTTTGGCTTGGCCCCGTTGTCCAAGAGAAGCTGAATACCCTCTAGATTCTCACTGTTGCATACATCGACAAAGTATGATTGTCCAGACCAACTGGCAGCGTTGACGTTCCACGTGCCCTGGTCGATGAGCATCTTTGCAACGCCAATGCTTCCAACTGATGCGGCCAGGAAGACGGGTGGAATCTTCATGTCTTTGCCATTGGTGTCGGCACCAGAACCGATGAGGAACCGCACGGCGTCTTCTTGGTTGGCCAGGATGGCACAGCCTAGGGGTAAGTTGCCTTCTCCGTTTCGGCCATTGATGTTGGCTCCTTGTGCGAGTAGACCGCTCATTTGCTGAACATCCCCGCGAAGGGCAGCTTGACAAAGGGCAGTGGACAAAGGATCGGGCTTCGGCCAGAGACCAGCTGTCATGGCCTTGAACGAGTTTGTCAATGAAGATAGACCTTTGGCAAACCCAGAAGATCCGCTCGGCGACTGAGCTGAACAAGGTTGTGCTGGTTCATAAGGCGGGGGCTCGATATCGCCAGGAAGAGGTCCTTTACTACTCGAGGCATAAGAGTCGTTCTGCGATCCAGTGAAAAGAATATCCTTGGTCTGCGAAGCTTTTTGACAGGCTCTGTTAACATGATCCAAGATCTCTCTTCCACTCTTGGTATCGAGAGCAGAATCTTGATCATCTCGAACTTTGCTAGCACATTATAAATAAACGTTCACACCACACAGCGAGATGAGCACCACTTACATCGACAGCACTTTTGCGAAAAACGCAAAGAGCCGAGAAAACGCAACAACAGCATCACTATAAACCACCAAAAACACCTCATCCATCAACGGCAGCGTCTCGGCCTGCAGTCTCATAATCTGCTTGTTCAACACAGTCGCGACAACATCGCACGATCCCAGACTCTGACTTATCGTCGTCTGCAAGCGACCCGAGATGGCACTGGCGCTATTCAGCGCAGTCTCGAGCACTCCCACATGCTGATGAAGCTGATACAGCCTCGTCGCGAACGAGGACAATCGCTCGTCGGGGACTTGAAGCGCAGTGTTCAATTCATTGAGCTCTTCGGCGCTGGATAAGACGCGGTGAGAGATACTCGAGCCGAGCGAGGTGAGTGAAATAACCGAGAAGCCGTCTCCGTCCATTGTATGTGGGGAAAGGCAACTAGAAGGGGTCGTTAGGTTGAAGTGGGGGATTGTCAGATCGACTGAGGACGAGCTTCAGCTATATAGCCATGGAAATACTGCCTACTATTCCCAGCAGTAGGTAGGGCTGATAGCGGGAGACAAAAAAACGCCTAAGAAGGCTGAACAGTGATTCAAATGCGCGTCGTGTGCTGATTACGCGGTCTGTCGACTGCGACACGCACGTGTATATCACATCACAGACGAATAGAGGCATAGCTTTGGCTTGGCTGCCTCTTTTGAGGCTGTAAACTAGATCCTACAGCGAACTTGACAGGGATATAGGCTCTGCGGTGATAGGTGCGGAGATGCCGTAACATGACGACCTGCCTCATTGATTTTGGTAGATAATGCAGTTAGAGCAGCCTGTAAATGTAATAGGATCTGCTTATTATTGACGGCCTATTTTCTTATTCCTCTCAAAGTCAATCATCGCTTACGCCATCGATCATTATACCCTGCATATCCACGTTGCTAACCCCAGACTCTCTCGTATCTCGTATTCTCTCTCTCTCTCTCTCTTTATTTAGGGCTCATGGGCTTTGACTTAACACCCTCGATAGGTTGTTCCTTTGCTTTTTCGGGTCGCGACATAAGGAAGAAGAATCCTGCACCGATTGCAAGACCGACACCTCCAAACATGACGATGTGCGAGCTATTCATCATCAGCCACATCTTCAACTCTACCGCAGCACAAACTCACTTGTCACCCTTGCTCATGGGCTTATCTGAAGATTTCGGTCCAATGGGTTCCTTCTCGTTATGTTGAAGTAATCTCGTTGTGCGGAAACCTCGCTGGATGGGAAGAGAGGGCCTCAAGGCCATTGAAGATCGAGCAATGCGTGCAGACATATTGAAGATGTGTTGTTGAAGATGGATTCTTTCTTGTTCCACAGAGGTTGACAAGGTGAGGTTGGGTATGACAGAGCATCTACCTAGGGAAGTATGGATGTTGGCCTTATTATGAACAAGTACATACAAATTATTGATGACGTTCTAATCGACATGTTTGGCCGCCAAATGTGAATCAACAGTGGGACTCTATGATCGTGGCGTCATTGATGCGTACCTGCAATCGACCACTTTCATCATTTCTGCAGAATCATTAGGACATTTCCACTACGAGGCGCACTAATTAAGGAGTGAGACGTTAGATCAGTGTCGATTTGTGTAAGAAAAGAAGTGGCTGAACCAAAAGGCGAATTCAACATTACTCACCTGAAGCAGACTCTATCAGATCATACCAAATGCCCCTCTATATACTCAACAGCTCTGACTTGCTCAATCACATCACATAGCTATTCGTACAGATTCTCAACTCGCTCAATGATTAAAATAAATACGTAAAATTTCCGTTCTATGATGCCCCTAACGTCTATGCCTGCTTTTTTCCCAAAGTTTTCCCTCCCAACCCCCTTCCATCCCTCCCTCCCTCACTCACTCATCCTCCCTCCACTGCAAACAGCAAATCGTCAGATCAACTGTCCGTACCTAATATCGCTTGGGTATCAAACATTATTCGTAAAATCCCCATGCACCAGACGCATTTTGACGGGTGGGACCATCGGTAGAAAGGAGGCTTTGTCTTGGTTTGTTGTTTTGTTATAAAATATGCTTATGATTTGATAGATGGGAGTGCTGGTTCCTGGCGAAAAAAGAAATACGCCTTTTCTGAACCCATTGAAAAAAAGGGTCGAGACGGGTTGGGATGGGATGTTTTCCGGCCGTTCGATAGAAGGGAATCTCTTGTTGGGGGCTGAGGCATGTCGTGGGCGACTTGCATCAGCATCGCGCTCTTTGGCACGTCGCTGGTCCATGGGGTCATAGTGAGCAGCTTCCTCTAGTTTATGTCCAATACTCAGATCTGCTGTATCCAACTACCGCGAAAAGATTCGAAGAGACATATCTACACTTCCTGTAGCAATGACACAGCGGATCTGCACGTCTTGAGGTGCTGCCGCCGCTTTCTTGGGAGTGCCCACATCACCATTGGCCTCCTCAGTCGGACCCTTGTCCTTGATAATAGGTGGCGCCCATCTCAGACTTGTAATGAAATGTTCGTGCGCTCCTTCAACAGTCTTGACGCACTTTCCTTCTTGGCTCAGATCCCAGCATCGAATCGTCTTGTCGTCGGATACGGAGAGAAGGAATTTGCCGCTTGGATGGAACACGAGACCTCGAACCCAGTTGTCATGACCTACCAGGGTCTTGATACAGGTTCCTCGGCCATCCCACAGCTTAATCGTCTTGTCTCTGCCACCGGTCGCCATAAACTCCGCCGTGCTGCTTGCTGGAGGCGCTTTCTTTACGCCGGCTAGGGTAGCTAAGTGCGAGTACGCTGCTGGTGGCGCAAAGGTACAGCATTCGACGAAATGCTCGTGGCCAATCATGACGAGCTTGGCTTCGGGATTTGGCACTGAAATATCCCAGAGTCTCACTGTTCGATCATTACCAGTCGATAGTAGGTATTTTCCATCCAACGACGGAGCAACATCACGAATCCAGTCGGCATGTCCTCTTATCGTCTTGACGCAATATCCTGTCGTAACATCCCATATCCTCACTGTAACATCTCGACTAGCGCTCGCGAGCAGATTTCCCGATAACGGCGCCCCAGGAGCTCCAGAGGGTATAAATCGGACTGCGCTCACACTATGGTCGTGACCGGGTAGTGTGCGAATATTTTGATACTCGTTCGACGGATCCCATAGCTTGATGGTTAAATCGGAACTGCAAGACGCAAGCAGCGTATGACCTTTCGGACCGCCATAGTCGAGATCGAGAACTGCTTTGGTGTGGCCTTTCACCGTCCTTTCGAGCTCGCCAAATTCCCAATCCCAGATCTTGATAGTGGCATCTTCATCTCCGGATGCGATAGACGAAAAGATCGGGTGAAAGGCGACGCAGTTGATGGGTGTTCGATGCGATTGAAGGACGTGTCGTGGAGGACCGGCTGGGAGCCAAGAAGATGGATCTCCTCGTCGGTTAGAGAGAGATGTCGGTGTAGCGCTATTAAGTTCTGTCTGAAGGGCGTTGTTCTGTGCTTCTAGATCCATGATCTGCGGATCGCTCCATTAGCAAAGCTACTAACGTACGATACGCGCATCTGCTACCGTACCTTTTTTTGTAACCGCACGACACTGGTCCATTTCTTCTCCAGCAGCGTCTCGTATTTCTTCGCGGTAGCCGTGTCGAAAGCGTCCTCTCCAAGACTGAGCTCCGTCCTCATGGCATTGGCGCTTTCTTGCAGGTTATTTGCGGCGAGGTAGGCGATGATGGATTTATGCCTGCAGCAGTGTCAGATGGGCAAATCAAAGCTCCAGAAGCTCCCCTGTACGAACAGCTCCTCTGCCTGCCGGCTCGTCAACGTCCGGCTCATGATGGCGGTTTTGTATCGCTCCGCTCAGGAGAGCACTAGGGGTCCCAAGATCTGTGTGTCTACTGAATTTCCAAGAGTTGAGTTTGTTTATCGTTGGTTGTTGGGGGGGAAAAGGAGTAATGCGAGATCGGGTTTCGTGGAGAAAACGGCGGGGGAGGGGCGGCAGGAAGTTTTGGTGGGAGCTTCGCTTCGTTCGTTTCGTGACGTGTCTGTGGAGGATGCGCTGAAGAAAGAGATGATTGCTGTGGAATTGTTGACCAATGGGGCGCTTGATTGGGGGTTGCTTGAAGGCGGTAAGACGCAGGGGAACAAAGGAAATATCAACAGCTAAACCGGCTTCATTGAAATGCGCTGCGCAGAGTAACACGGTCTCGCCAGGGGCATCAACATCGATATCCAAAGAGCGGTGCAGCTAGCCTGAGATGAGCCGCTGCCCAAGATCACGTGGAGATAAGATGGTCCTACCCTATATCGCTGGATTGACAATTCCAAGATGTGTAACTTATCCCGGTATGGAATAGATGTTTCAAGAGGAAGACGATAAAACTTGTGATCTCAATCTTGAATTATAAGAGCATTCATATAATTTGGCCAAACTTAAATCATGCTTTTCAAATACGCTTGTACCCTCCAATGTGGATGCTGAGGAAGGCCCGTTCTACGTAGCGAGGTCAATTTAAGCATTAGGTCTGTGTTTGTGAAAACGGTGTGTCAATTACAAGTTTCTACTGAAAAACAACCACTAAGAATAACATGAATATGTTTTGCTGTGTTTTCATATGTATAGGCCAACTTGACCCTCAGCTGTGACACAACTCTCAGAGCATTCCCTTCAATGCAACAACCACAGGATCAAGATTCAGCGCTGTTTCTGACTCTCTGCTGTGACAACCGTAAAGTAGCGTGGTCGTAGGGAACAAAGATATGTAGCTGATATGAAATGGCTAAATGAGAGGAATTGTCCGTCGAATTACTAGATATTATTCCAGGCTTCCGGCCGTTTCCAAATATTTTCTTATTCTTTGGTGATGTTTCATAGTCAACATTTCAGACCGATGGCCCGAAACCATGTAGGACTGCAAGTCGCAGGCATATATAAATCTAACGTCGTTGAAATATACACGAAAAGCTCCATCCATGAAGTGAATCGTTGCTCCCCTGTTCCCTGAAAAACACAGGCATGAGTCCCTATTCCGTGGATGCACCCTATTCCCGGGTGGATATAGGTTACATCCATCCATCAAGACATCGGAACTCGCTAAATGTTCCTCCCACATGGCATCCACGATTGAGCGAAGCATTGTTCGACGCTTAGGCCAAGTAAGGCCTCTAGTTCTCCGAGTTGGATCTTCTGGGGAGTGTGCCAAGCGGATAATCCCCATCTAAAGCGCGTATCCATCCACCAGATGAAACATCACGATGAGTTCATGGTGATGTCGAAGACTGCCCTGAGTTAAGTGGGAATAAAGAGGCTGAAACCTTTGCGGAAATGGTCGGCTATGTGAGTGATGAGGAATGTTGTCGTGGAACCGCATGTTTGATGGCCGGATTTAGCTCGACAGGGACGATAATTTCTGTGATGGTTCAAAGTTAATAGTTATTTCGGCTGGAGAAACAGGAGATCTTCTTCCGGATAGCATAACAAGCTCTAGATGTAAGGTTGAAGGAAGTGACATTATCTCAAAAGAAGGACTTGTTTATTGGGTATTAGATCTTATCAAAATACAAACGCCTCTAACATTACCGCCTGCTTTTAGTATCTAGTTTAAACAACAATGGAATAACTTCCGTTGACACTGACTCGTTCGATTATGGTGATCGTGTAGTCGTTTGCTGGAACTCTCTGTGCACTCTGATGCCCTGCAATATCTCCTCACTGCTCGAGTTCCCACCGTCGATCTTGGCGTTGTATGTCGTAGTAGTGAGCTCAAAGCCCTCAACGTCAGGCCTTAGTTTCGTGTTAACTGGTACTGATGTCTCTGTGAATTTCGTCCCCTTGATCAAATCGGTTGAGTCGTTGTCGTCGGGCAGTCTGTAAAACGCATTTGTCGATGCAGAGCCGTTGGAACTCCTGCCAGCGCCGGTATTCTCGTGGGACTTGAGGCCCTTTGTTGACTTGTCGCCTGATGGTCTGACGTTACTGCGGACTGTTGATGCGAAGCTACTGAGGCCAGTGAATTTTGCGACGAGTCGGAGAACTGGCAGCATTGTTGGGAGATTCGCTGAGACGATACCGGCTGACATTTCAATCTCGGTCCATCCTACTGTAGGGGCGAGAGTGTAGCTTGGATCAGTGCTGGTGTAGGTGAAGAGAACGCTGGTTCGATAGGCCGAGGCGAAGACGACGAAGGATCCGATGGCAAAGGCAGCTGTGAGACCAAGCTTTTCAGACTTGCCGAGCTGAAGTTTCCAGATAGGAGGTAGTGGTAGACACAAGATAACAATATCGGTGAAAATAGTCGAAGCGGCATTG